TCTGATGAGATATGATAAATATGAATTTGAATTTCAAATTTGATGAAGAAATCGAATTTTTGGATTTGATCTGATCTGATATGATTTGATTTTTTTAAATTAATAAATTATTAAAAGAAAAATGAAATATACAAATTTAAATAAAAAACAAAAACTACAAGTATCTTTTTCAGCTATTTTCATCATCATTATCATCATATATATACATGCTTTTTATAAAAAAAATTAATAATACAATAAATTTATAAAAATACAATATAAATAATATATATAAGTGTTATATATTTATATAAACAAATAAATATATATTGAATCGGATAGGATGACCCAACGCGATCCAATTTCGGGTTGGATCATATCATTCGGTCCAATCCGAAGATCTGAAATAGGCATAATCCGAATCCGAGAAAGAACCCAAAACTTCCAATCCTAAATACCAGGGCCCAGGGGCAAACAGGAAGACAAACTGGAACCTCAATTCATTATTGAGGACTTGGTGTAATTTGGATAAGAGGGGAAGAATCTGCCTATTGCTGCTTGCGACTGGTGGTTCCCTTTTCAAGTTTTCATAATAAAGAGGCAGTTCTCCTCATTTCATCTCTTTAGACTTTAATACCGGGAATGATACATAATCTCCATTTACCCAAGTCCACTGAAATTATCTTTTGTTCATTCGCGTTGTTGACCCTCATTCAGTAATTTTTTTTAATGAATACTATGTCAACTGTTTGTTGTCGATCCAAAGGCATTAAGGTATTCTTTGATTATCTCTTTCCCATTGAGGTGAAAAATATTGCTTTTCAAGGTTAGTTCTTCTGTACTTGCCCTGTCTTAACAACTTGATTAATTTCAAATTGTTGTACCCTTTTGCACTTTGTACCAGTTTAGCATTTGTCGGTTTTTGAAATCAGAGACAATCGTTCGTTTAACTTGATTTGTTGATTCAACTCACTGTAAGTTGGATGGGTGGACTTAGAGGCTACTGCATTGTATGACTTGTTTATGGTGCACCTTTCAATCAAAGATTACTTCGAAAGTTTTGTTACTTTTGAGATTAGTGGGTTCTTTATCTGCACAATTTGCTCGTTGCATCTCACTTGGAATGCACAGAGATATAGCTCCTGTTGTTCTAGTTTCCAATGCGTTTGGGTTTTAAACCTTTAATTTTGTAATGCAATAGTCTCTCCCCTGGGGCTCTATCATGTCCTTGATCCCAAAAAAGGAGAAGCAATCTGTGGCAACTTGGATTGATCCCCTGAAGGGAGGATAAAATTCTGCTTCAACGAGGAAAAAATTTGGAGGCTTCTTTAAATAATCAGACACATGGAACCAATACATGTGATGGAAAAAATAGACCTTAGAGTAGAGTAGCATGCACAATCTTCTGAGCCACAGAGTTTTGATTTTAGGTACTACTACACTTATCCATGCATTCTGTTACTGGGATCTGGAACAACTAATGTTATAATGAACTTACCGTTAAAGGTGACTGAATTCTTCTAGAAACATCATTGTTTATATGGCTTCTTGCTTCAAGTCCTGAACAATGTTATCACCTTGGTGCACATGGAGATGGTTGGCTCCAGTTTTTGTTTTAGTTCTGAAAGTGACATTCATGTCCGCAAATTGCATTGTGTTTAGAGCATGATCAGATGGACTTGATTTGGACCATAAAACTTGGAACAACAAATCAGTATTGCTTACTTGGTTATTCAAACTGAGTATACTTCCAAGATGGGTTAGGTGCTTCAGCAATCCAAGAAAGGAAAGGAGGCCTTGTGGATCATAATGTCTTTGAGTTATAGCCATCTAGTTACCTAGTTGCCTCAAACTTTATGGATATGGTTAGCAAAATGTTGGGTTGGGCTTTGTTAGTTGTCAACTTGGTAAGAAAAGTCCTTTCTGAACCTGATTCAAGTAAGGGTGATATATCCCAAGCTAGATCTCTCAAAATGTATAGGTCGGGAACAGCTATTCCAACTTGAACCTATCACAGTTGGACTCAATTTTGAAAAGGACAAACATCAAACCCAAATTGGTCATTTAAATGGGTTAATAATGCTATCCTGAATATAGACAGAGCAAGAGCAGGTGGATGGGATTGATTGCCTTCAAACCTTCCGCCCCTGTCATTCTATCCTCAAGACCATTATAGTGATCATTGATTCATTTGGTTTGAAAATTGAGATACCATTGTAGCCTTTGTAAATTCTAGAAAATGAATAAGAACTAGTTGGACATACTAGTGTAAGCTTTTTCTTGTAAGAGCATTGTAATGCGTTATAGAGATGCAGAATTTCACTGTCTTGTAGTATGTATATAGCATGTGGATATGGATTCTTGAGGTGTCTATTTGGTATTCTAGAATTCCCTCTTGACATTCACACAAATAGTGTACCGTTTATCTTTAATTTATATGATTCACTGTGCACCCACATATGGTTGCTGACAACAACTAGGAGACCAAGTTGGTCCATGAGATTGTTCCATCATTTTTCTTTCTTGATTCCTTGTTATTTCAGTTACTTTGGATTTGTTTCTCCTGGTTGAAATAGGATTCATGTAACAGGGATAAGGCGTGGATGGTGATGCACTAGTCCTTGGTCCAATAAAACCTACCATTTTTCAGGCATTATTTGTAATTTTGTTCATTACTGCTATCTATGCAAAGACAAAGAGATGACTTTGTCTAGAGGTATGGTGGATGGCCAACTATGTCTACATATACCGACAGCTCCATTATTGGATACATTTAATTCAAAATAGCCAAAACAAATTGTAGAATGAAAAGAGGAATTAAAATATGAATAATGCTCAGTTGGTGATTCTCATGTAAAGGATATGGTGAATCAAATAAGACTGAAAAATTCATTGCAAGGATTTTAACCTTGGATGATAGGCCTAAGAATGTCAAATACTTCTTGATGAATTAAGAGCAATAGATAGCATATGGCCAGGGCTATAAATGAATCAGATTAGATAGGACTGGATGTGTATATACATCCAAGCTTGATCTTTTAATACTTCGATTCAAATTGAATTTTATCCACGAGTTTCAGATCAAACTCGGACTGAATTTAGATATTGAATATTACTAAAAAATATTAGTAGAAAATCATATATTATTGATAATATGTACCAAAAATGACTTTGATAGAGTATCATGAATAAAATAACTGTATTAAAACTTTGACCTATGGCTCTTTAGTAAACTTGTAATTTAAACCAACCTTAATAATGCATACATGTTAATTATGTGGATGCAATCATACGTCTTAATATTATCATATAGGATAATAATGGATTGAATTGGAGTGGATCCATGTTTGATTGTCAAATTGGATTGGTTAACATTTGAATTTTGACAGGTGGATACCATTTGCAGTCCTATAGATAACCTCCATATTTTGGTCTTGAATAATGAATATAAAAAGGAACTGCGTTGATGAATACAAATAAAGTTGTAAGTCTGTCCATTTTCAAAACTTACTAGTCTTTGAAGATCTAGAGGCCATTATTTAGTGTAATAGTAAAATTTCAGGCTAGCAAGTGCGAGAACATGGGTTTGAGTTTGAGGGTGACCACATTGCCAAAAGGTGAAAACCATACTTAACCTACCCCTCTCAAGACCCCGGATAGCTGGGACCAACATTAGGTACAGGTCATTATCAGTCTTTGAAAATCTGTGTGACATATAGTTTCATTTCAAGTGCTTAATGAAAGTTTTATGAACATTACTTCATCAAAGGCATGTGTATCTTGAACTTGACATAGTAACATTTTCATTTTGGTCCTTTGATGTTGTTTCTTCTTACTGTTTCATTTTAGTCATCACTGGAGAGGTATATCAATCTTCTTATTTTCCATTTTGTGTATATCAGTCAACAAATCATCATTCACGAGCCATTAGCGAAAAAAAGAAGAAGAAAAACTCATCATTCATGAGCAAGATAACCTTTCTCATGGTGGCACATTAGCTAAGCCCAACTCATCAAGGGGAGAGGTATGGGCTGATTATGATGATATGAGCAGGGAAAGATCAGGGCGGTTGCAGAAAAGAAAGCAGACACAGCAAGAACCCTTCTTGATTTACTCCAATTTGAGTTTTTCAATGGATGGTGCAGCATGCCAATTCTCACCTCTCACACGGGATAGATGAAAATCTAGATGACCAAAGTCTAATCCATTATGTAATGAATCATTCAAGATGTCCTATTTCAAAAGATCCACTGTAGTCTTGTCTTCAGAACTACTTTGGCTTGTTAGAGTTAAAAACTTAAAATGGATGAAGAATCTAGAACAGAAAATCTGGGTTGCAGGTGGTTATATCATTTCTAGTGTAAGACATCTCCCAGTGCTCCATCTAGATATATCATTTCTGGACAAAAAGCTTACAGTTTTAGTTACTAATATCTGCCTTTCATTTTCAATTCTAATAGTCTAATTCTATATGCATATATGACTAGCAGGGTATGTACTACTTGTATGGGGTGGGTATCCCATGTGAAATGTCATGCACACAAGATATCACTTTCAGACTGGTGCAATGGCATCGACTTACCAATTGACAACTCAAAGATGGTAATAATGGTGAATATTTGAAGAGTGGGGGTGTGCTTTTTGGATGGTTAAAGCACCAGCAGAAGCAATTTGCCTGTCTCTTCAGGGTCTGGTTTCAGAGAGTGGTGCCCATGTGGACACCATAGGAAATGTAGTCTCAATTGAGGACATAATTAGGTTTGCCATATAAGTCAGTAGAGCAGAGTTGGGTGGAAACTGAGTTTTCTCAGGTATCATAAATTTGCCTTCAGAAACCGATGACCTTCTGGGTTAGTGTTAATATTTGTCAACCTGAAGGAAAGTAGTAGAAAAGTTGGGTAACAAAACCACTGGAGTTGCAGGATTGGAACTCAACCACAAAGAGTGAAAGACATAGCTACCGTTCTTGAGAAAGGTTGCCAAGGATAGTGATTGATGGGGCTATAATAATATTTTTGAAAAAGTAGCTGTGGGAGTGGAAGAGGAGTACATCAACAAGGTGGCATCTGGCATCCAACTCTAGCTAATTAATGGCAGGGGTTAGCTGTATTCTCATTTAATACTTGGGCCCTTGTTTTTTTGTTTGCAAGCAAGAACTAGACTTCCACCGTCTTTATTTGCTTTAAATGATCTACTCTGCACGTCTTTCTCTAATTTAAATAAAATTCTTTTGTGGCTAAAAAACCCTCTCCATTTTTTGTCTCCTATCTACACCACTCTTCTGACTTTCTTTAGCTGGGATGGACTTGTTGGTGGCACATTTGGCCCAGCAAAGTGGGTCATTCATTAATCTCAATCCCTGCTATCATTGAAAGTCCATGGTCGGTTCATACCGGCTCTAGCAACATTGTAAGACTCGGCCTGGACCGGACAGTCAGACCATCAAAACAGGGAACCTGTGCCCTTTCTGGGTCCCGGTTAAATGACGGTTTTATGGGCTGAATGGGTTAACCAGGCAAAACCGGGACCTGTGAAGCATCCTGGTTTTTAGTCCGGTTCGAGTCATACACATTGGGCCCTAGTTTCAATGGTTAGGCTTGGTCATAGGTCTGATATGAGTCAGAAGTTGGTAAACAATCCATTTCTACTTTCTAGAGGAAGAAAGATACAAGTTAAATGGACCGATCAAATCGGTCAAGTCCACGTTGGTACGAAATTGGCCCACCTCCTTCGGATGATGACCTTAGGTCCGTTACTGTCAAAGATCGCTTATCATCGATTGTGAATACAAGGACAAAAAGAAACCGGTTCTTGATGGGACCGAGCGGTTGTTTCACTGGACGGCCCAGATTGATGAAGTGGTTTGATAGGGACCGGATCTGCTCCTCACAGATAGCGCCTTACACCGACCTCACGGGGACATCTCACCGTGCATTGGGAACATCTTCCGTACTTATATGTTATTATTTACGGGAGATGTTCCCAATGTTGTGAGGCGCCCTTTGATAACGTCAATGGTTTTGGTTTTTTATGCGGTCGCTTTTGCCACGTGGACAGATAATGTGCCTAATCAAAACCGTCCACCTGGATTCGAGGTGTGTTTGGCAGTGTCATTGGAGCAAGAGATACGATTTTGTTGTGCCACGTGGTGAAAAAGTGTGGTAACACGTGTAGGGAATGGAATGACAGGTGAGTGGGAGCAAGGTCGTCGAGTTTCTAAACGTGTTTCAGGCAGACCCGGGAACGAGAGAGGGAGAGATGGATTCGCTGATTATTCCACACAAATCCTTGTCTTCTTTATTCTCCTTCGTTCTTTGCCTTTTCTTCCTCTGAAAGACAGCAACAATCCCATTCTCTTTTCAAATTTCAACGTTCGATCCTCCTTCCTTCCATCAACGCCACCACTACCGGGAAAAGCCTCCACCACCTCCTCCACCTCCTCCACCAAGAGTACTAGAATCATCTCTTGCCCACATAGTAAGAGGCAGAATGAGTTGAGCGAGGGAGACAAAGAGAGAGTGATTGGAGAGTAGAGCCAAAATGGGGGCGACGCTCTCCAACTTAACGGAGGGGGTGGCAAATGGTTCGACGATTGGACCGGGTCTCGGGGACATACCGGAGAGCTGCGTGGCCTGTGTGTTCATGTACTTGACCCCGCCGGAGATATGCAACCTGGCTCGCCTTAACAGGGCCTTTCGTGGCGCTGCCTCCTCTGACGCTGTCTGGGAATCGAAATTGCCCCCTAATTACCAGGATCTCCTCGACTTGTTGCCTCCCGAGAGATACCCAAATTTATCCAAAAAGAACATCTTTGCCCTCCTCTCTCGTCCCATCCCCTTCGACGACGGCAACAAGGTTTGTTTTCTACGACTTCTTTCCTAGAATCCAATCTTTTTAGCTGAGATTGTGAATTTAAGGAAAATTGGATTGTTTTGTCTTTTTCCCCCCTCCTGTTGTTATTTCTTAATTATGTTTTACCTTTGATGTGGGTGCTGGGTGCTTTTCCAGGAGGTCTGGTTGGACAGATTTACAGGAAGGGTTTGCATGTCGATCTCGGCAAAATCGTTGAGGATAACTGGGATCGAAGATCGGAGATACTGGAATTGGATTCCTACCGAAGAATCTAGGTGCGTTTCGTACTTTTCTTGGTGCTATAAAGTATTCTTTAATTGTGCAATGCATTTCATAAACTACCTACAAATAGTATTCTTCTTTTATTTTCTTCATTTTTGGGTATTGTAATTTCGGTTGGTTATTTGTTACAGCCTTTTTTTTAATGCAATATATCATCAATTATTATTTCTATTCTATTTGTTTATTTTTAAACTTACTGTAATGTTGGAGTAGTGCCTCTGATATTTCAGTGGAAAATAGGGATAGAAGAGCAACAGATTCTCTCTCTCTCTCTCTCTCTACCCCCGCCCCCGCTATTTAAAGGTTTTCTGATTAGAAATTTAATACCAATCCAGGTGCTTGCTTTTGCATGCTGTACTTTTTAGATTATGTGAACTGGTTCACTATCATTACTATTGGGTGTTAATCTCTCTGAATGAGGATCGGTTTGTTGCATATTCTAATTTGGGTTAGCTCTATCGTTTATATCCTACTATATTCATTGTTCCCCAGCACCTGAAGCCATAAACTTGAAAATGACTAAAAGAGATTGAAAGCAGACTTCCTTCCAATACCGCAGCAGATTTGGTGGTTTTGATATCTACATGGTGCAAAAGAATGGCATTTGAAAATTTGCCTACTCCTTTACAATAATCAGCAGGAAAGTAGTATTGATTCTGTTGATTAATTCGTGAACACAGGAATGCTTTAAATTATGATGCCTGTGTTCCTTTCTTCTGTCTCTGTGGAAGTAAATACTCTTAGTTACTTGCCTGTACTTTCCATGTAATCTTGTATTTGTATTGGTCTTGGAGACACTAGTTGTTGGGTCCTTTGATTTTCACAGGGAAACATGCCTTTTCTTTTTTTCCCCTTCTGGATACAATGCTAAATAGTCCCTTGCCTGTTTTACATCTTAACCTGTGGCAGTTGCCTTTTTAGACAGCAGTTTGTGCCAACTGCCTTTCTAGTTGAGGTTGGGTATTATTAAATTTATATTTATTTTTTGACAAGTAATTAGTTTTCTATTTATTAAAAATTTGACTTTGGAACTCTAAAATCCCATTCTGATGTAAAAAATCCGGGGAAAATGTAATTTGGGTGTTGTTGCTTAGTTGAAATGACAAGTGATGTAAATGAAATCTAATAAATATGAGAAATCCATCACCAGTTTTCAACACTGTTGCTGGAGGCATTTGTCCCTCTTCAAGATGATGGTGACATCCATAGGGAAGAATGAAAAACTCCTAAAAGTATCTCTTTCCCCCTTCCAGTTAAGGGGGTGACTTAATATCATTTGGCATGATGGAAAGATATTTTGATGGTCAAAGTTGAGATGATGTTCTACATGGATGTTGAATATGGTTTTGTGCTGTAACTTATGTTGAATATTTAGTTAAGATCATGGGGGCATTTAGAGCCATGCCATTGTTTATAAAAGGATGTAGGAATAATATGGGTGATGCAATTGGACTAGGCTGGTGAGTGGACAGGGCCTAGATGTTCTCCAAATTGCTGACTTAGGGGTTTTATCTTTTGTGCTGCATTCTATGCACATATATATGTCCAAACAGGTACACTTCTACTCACAAATAAAGAAAACCTCAAATAGATCAACTTTGGAGAGGGAGGAACAGTTAGAATGGGAAGGTTTTCCTTCATATGTTAAAGTTAAATAATGAATTTCATTTTGGTTTGCTAGAGGAGATCTGGATAAAAGTTTATGGCCTGCTGCCTTCGCTTTGGTGCCCAATTTGGTTGGGAACTTGTGTGACTGTTCTGTAGCAACTAATGACTCTCCTTTGGTGCTCCGAACTTGTGAATGGGTAAAAATGAAAGTCCTCATTAGGTCCCAGGTGTCAAAGAAGGTCAAAATAGTAGTTGGTGATGTTAACTATACAATCTGGATTTGGCAAAAAAATGTTATCAAGTGATCATCCCAAGAAGGCAATATGATCCACTAGCAGAGGTGAAGTGAAGGTTAGAGGGGGGGGGGAGAAGGAAGGTAGGTCAAGAACTAGTAAGTGCAAAGACAATGATGATTTCTTTTGCGGAGGTAGGGGTGCAAACGGATCGAATTGTGATCCGACCCGAGACCCGGTCATATTTGATCGAATTCGGATAATCTTTGGATCGGATAATAGGATCCGATAAGAAATTGGATTGGATTTGGATAACCCCATATCCGACCCGATATATATATTATATTTATAAATATAAATATATATAATACATATATATATATATGTTATTTATTTATTTATAAATATATTTTATAAATTTGTTTTTTTTTTTTATGAATAACTGATTACTTCATTGAATTTTAAGGAAAGTGTACAAGAGAAAGTGAGAGAGAGACAAGCTCTCTTATCTCTCCCCTTTAACTTTAGTTATAATTACAATTACAGTTGTGCTCAAAATGTTTGAATTCTCCCAACCCCTTGCTTGGCCAGTGCATCAGCCATTGAATTAGCTGTTCTTTTCACCCACTGTATTCTTAGTTCCATGTCCTTTGTGATCCATTTGAATTTTTTCTTCTCATTATTATACTTCCACATCCTACTTTCCTCATCCAGTAGCCAAGCCCTTACCAGCTTGGAATCCCCTTCAATGATTAGCTTTCTAGCATTCATGGTTGTAGCCCTTTGCACTCCTTCCATAACTGTCATTACTTCCACTCTTAGTGAGTCTCCTTCACCTGCTGGGCCTGAGAATAATGCACACACTTTACCCTCCTCATCCCTGAATACACCTCCAATTCCTGACCTTCCTGGGTTTCCCATGCTACTGCCGTAAATTTAAGCTTTATAAATCCTCTTTCAGGAGTGGTCTAGATAGGAATAACAGGCTGCTTATTGACATTTGAATCTGCCACTGTCTTCCAGTTTCTAATGATATCACCAATGGATATATGTGAGAAGTTTCCTAAGGATTTCAGCCATTGAGCCGCTCTAATCAGAATTGATTCAATCATGGCCTCTTTTATTCTCTCCTTTTCTCTAAAAATTCTTGCATTTCTTTTTTCCCACACTACCCAGATTATTGCTGCCCTAGCACTCTTCCACATGATGTTACCTATCTTCTTCGGCGAAGGACAGGAAGTTGGATCAAAGGGACTTTTGATGTCAGCCGGAGGTGTCCACCTGCATTCAAATAAGGAAAAAAGCCATTCCCAAAAACTAGCAATAAACGGACAAGTAATAAACAAATGAAAGCAAGTCTCACTATTAGCCTTACAAAGAACACACCAGTGTGGGGAAAGGCACCACTTTTTCCTCTTCCTTTGTAGCCAGTCAAAAGTATTTATTCTTTTGTGTACAGCTTCCCAACAAAAAGCCGCAATCCTAGGTGGGATAGGCTTGCACGATACCTCCTTAACAGGAAAGGATTGAGGGGGACTAAGGGGAGGTTGGGTTAACACTTTGAAGAAGGAGTTACAGGAAAACAGGCCCGAAGAGGAAGGTGTCCAAATTCTTTCATCAGACTTATCAGGATTAAAGAAAGTTCCTTTAAGGTTTTGGATTAAAGAGAGTACACTATCAATTTCTGAATCCCTTAATCCCCTTCTAAAGCCAAAGTTCCAATCAAAACCATTGACTGAGTTTGAAGGGACTAAGAAAGTTGAAATGGGCTCACTCTTGAAACATGATAAAGAATACAAAGAGGGGTATAAGTCTTTTAAAGGGGAGTTCCCATACCAGATTTGATTCCAAAATTTGATTAAGTTGTCAGGATTGAATTCATACCTTACAAGAGGCAAGAAACAAGGTAGAATTGCTTGTATGGCCTTCCAAGGTGAAGCTCTGGTAGCCCGTTGCAGTGATCCAGCAGCCCATCCATTGTCCAACAGCCCGTGTATACTCCATAGTATCCCATCCATTGTCCAACCACCACCCTTGCCCATAGTTTCTCTTTTTCTTTTGGCATTCTCCATAGCCACTTCCCTAGTAGAGATAAATTTCTTTTTTGAATATTTCCTATTCCAAGACCCCAAACTTTTTATCTCTACTGACTATCTCCCAGCACACCTTGTGATCTCTTTTCTCTTCTCCTGGCTCCCATAAGAAGTCCCTTATTAATTTCTCAATGCTCTTGCTTACTCCCGCCGGCATTTTGAAGACTGACAAATAGTACACAAGGAGGTTTGCTAGGGTTGACTTTATTAGTGTTATCCTACCTCCTAGGGAAATGTTGCCCTTTTTCCAGCACGCCAGTTTCTTTGTCACCTTTTATACAACTGGATTCCAAAAGCTTGAGTCCTTCGGGTTGGCTCCTAAGGGTAAACCTAGGTAGCTTAAAGGCCATTGAGAGATATTGCAACCCAAGATTTCAGCACAAACTTCTAACTCTCTATCCTCCATGTTTACACCTACAATGCAACTCTTCTCGAAATTGACTTTTAATTTGGATAAACTTGCAAAGAGCTGCACTGTCTGCTTTAGGTTCCTAATCCACATCACATCATCCCCTTCACAAAACAATAGGGTATCATTAGCAAATTGTAAATGGGTAACCGACACCCTATCCCTCCCCACTCTCCAACCTCTTAGCAATTGTCTTGTATCAGCTTTTGTTACTAATCTACTCAAGACATCTGCAATGAGGGTGAAAAGAAAGGGAGAAAGGGGGTCTCCTTGTCTAATACCACACTCTGCTTCGAAAAAATCCACCACAGATCCATTTACAAGCACTGAATAATGACATGATTGGATACAACCCCAGATCCATTTGCACCACCTTTCCCCAAAGCCAAAGTGACTTAAAACATTCATCAGAAAGGACCAATCCACCATATCATAGGCTTTTTCCAGATCCAATTTACAAACTATGCATTTTCTTCCAGATCTTTTCATTTCTTCAAGGCACTCATTTGCTATCAGAACTTGATCTGTTATTTGTCTATTCTGAACAAAAGCCCCTTGGTTAGGAGAGATGATGGAAGGGAGCACTTTTTTTATCCTCAAAGATAACACCTTAGCTATGATATATGATGAAAATAATTTGTTATATTATT